TCGATAGTCAGATCAATTGTGAGATAGATCGAGTGAGATCGATTGTGAGATCGATCGAGGGAGATCGATCGAGCGAGACCGATACTGAGATCGATAGTGAGATCGATAGTGAGACCGATCGAGTGAGACGTTGGTTCCTCCCCCCCCCCGAACCTCCTTATCACCCGGAGGGTGGTCGTATAGGTAGTCTTATTGTTCTTATTCTTATTCTGATTCGGATGAATATTCGGGTGATTATTATTATCATACTTACTTGTATTCTTGTTCTTGTTATTAATATTATTAATGCTGCAATTTAATCATTATTATGTTTAGTAGTATTCTTATTAGTTTGATTATTACTAGTGTTAGCGCTTCTCATAATAGTCTTAATTTTATTATTATTATGATTCGGCTTATGCTGATTATTATAATTTATCTTACTCTTACTATTATTATTGGTATCATCCTTACTCTGATCAGTATTACTATTGTTATCATTATGCTTATTACTCGTATTTCATTCTTATTTTTATTCCAATTCCTATTGGGATACCACCCGAGCCGGGGCGCGGAAATTATTTATGTTCGTTTCATTTGCGCGGTGCTAATCATATCGTTCGGCGAACACTGCCCCCCAGAATTATCTAATTACGGTGCTGTGCTAATGATATCCCCGGGGGGGTCCTTAATGGCTTGATGGTTAGGCGACGACGACATTACGACGACGACGACGACGACGACGGCACGCCCCAACAGGCTTCCAAGGCGCCCCAAAACCCATGCTCCCAGAAGGCCTTCTGGGAACCCGATTCGTACGGCCTCCGCCCCCCTACACAACCATTTTCCTCGAAGGCCTTTCGGAATGCAGATTGGCATGCGTGTACTGTGGTCCACTACTTCAGTGGAGCAGTGAATTCGTCAAGGCCTGGGGCATGCTAGAACCTGAGCGCGCGCGAAGCGCGCGCGATGGTTCTAGTATAGATATATACAGGCTGCACCACGCCGATAGCATGGCACATATTGCGCGCCGCATAGAATGAACAATATTAATTGCACAGCGTAGATTGCACAAAACATATTGCACCACATATATTGCAACCTCTATTGCACAGCCCTGATTGCACAATATGTGCTGCATCGTATAGAATCTACAACATATGAGGCACAACGCAGCTGGCACCACAAGTTACACCACACAGTTTGCACAACATTTGGTTGCACCGCATCTATGGCACCACGTCGGTCGCATCGCATATTTTGCGCACCACATTGGTTTTAGAGCATAGACTGCACCACGTGGAATGCATCACGCTATATATTGCACCATGCGACTTGCAGCACATGCATTGCACAACACAACATGCCAGAAACACACTGCTTGAGGCTTGCACTGGCTAACATAAGTACATACATGTATGTGTGTAGGGTACATGTTCCCATTCCTTCGTCACCATGCCCATCCACACCTTATATCGTTATCTGCTTCTTCCTCGGCTGCTCTGTACTTTGGTCCTCATGCCCTGGTCCTTGATATTCGCGTTGTTTTACGCGCATCCTATATTCCCCCAATAGCGTCAGCGAGTGCAGGCTACGGTGGTGATGAGGAGGGGACGAAGGAGGGCCAATAAGGTTTACGAACGTGGGCAAACATCCGATTCTCTCCCCCCTTGTCGAGAGAGCCGTGGGCAAACCAGACGGCGACCACAGCGACCGCGCAAGAGCCTTTGGGCAGGTCGCGGCAGCGCCAGCGCAACAAGAGGATTTCCCGAAGCCTTCATCCCCGTCCCCTGCGCTCTCCCCTTTTTCTGATCCCCAATGCCATCCCCCCCTTCCTCTCCCTCCTTCAACTACCCCCCTCCCATTTGCCCTGGTCTTGTTCACCTGCTGTTGCTGCTCCTGCTGTTAGGCCTCAACCTTCTCCCTCCTGCTCCTGTGCCTCCTCGTTCACATCCATCCTATCTTTGCCTTCCGTCCTCCCTGATGCTCCGTTGTCCTCCAGGGGTTCTTTTGCCACCACATCCGCCACCTCCAAGTCCACCTTTCTCTCTGTCTTATTCCCCTCATTGTTCTCACAACTACTACTTCGCAAGCTCCTGATCCTGCTTCTGGCCCCGATCCTTACAATGGTCTTGCCCTTGGGGGTCGTCCTCGATCTAACGCAGTTTCCTGCGCACGGTAGGTCGCACAAGGCTTAAGCTTAACCTTATCATGCGCCTTTTGCGCTGTATTCTCATTCGGCATTGAGACGTTCGGCCCGACACCGTTTCGCCGCCGCCGCCTCATCCTCCTCCTCCTCCTTCACGTCCTCTTCTCTCATTTCCGATGTGTCCTACTGTTACAATCGTTGATGCTTCAAGGGGGGCTATCTACATTTGCTTTCCACAGTTTTGGCGGGACTTCGCCATTCGGAGTGCCTTGGGATCCCCACGGAGGGCACCTGCAGGCTGGCTGGCCGAGGATCTCGCGCGTGCCAAGGATGAGGAAGCGGAGGGAGGAGGAGGAGGAGGAGGAGGACGTCTCTCCCTTCCCTGCTCTCCCCCTTGTTCCCCGAAAGGGCGCCGGCCCAGGGTTCTCTTTTAGTTGGCAAACCTATCCCCGGTGCCTCAACTGAGGTGGGCCGGCGGATTCTTTCCCTGATAAATATCAAGGTCGAGGTGGGCCGGCGTATTCAGATTTGAGGATGTCTCAGGCGAAACGCTTGTTTTTGAAATCCCGATCGATAAATCACAGGGTGATAAATACGGTGTCGTGAAAACGTTTCCATGCATGCGGTTCTATATGCTTTTCCACGACCACACCCCAGCACGACCACATCACAGCACGACCACACCCCAGCACGACCCCACCCCAGCACGATCCCACCCCAGCACGACCAAATCCCAGCACGACCACACCCCAGCACGACCCCACCCCAGCACGACCCCACCCCAGCACGACCAACCCCCAGCACGACCACACCCCAGCACGACCTCACCACAGCACGACCACACCCCAGCACGACCACGCCCCGGCACGACCACGCCCCAGCACGACCACGCCCCAGCACGACCACCCCCCAGCACGACTACCCCCCCAGCACGACCACCCCCCAGCACGACCACCCCCCAGCACGACCACACCCCAGCACGACCACTCACCAGCACGACCACACCGCCTTGGTTGAGTGGTTGCCTGTCGTCGTGGAATGTTTCGTGGGGTGTCTCGTGGACTGTTTCGCGAAGTGTTTCGTGGAATGTTTCCAGGAAAACGTTGAAAACGGTCGCCCGTGTCTCGTGGAATGTTTCGCGGGGTGTCTCGTGGAAGTGCCCGTCGCCCAATACAGTGTCGTGAAAACGTTTCCATGCATGCGGTTCTATATCCCTTTCCGGGTTCGTGGGTCCATCATGTTCTTTTCCATCAATTTCCCCTCCTCTCCCCAGTACTAACCCCCTGCCTCGACCATTCGTGGCGCTCACCCTCCCTTATGTAAGTGATGCTCATCAGCTGCAAGCGTGAGATGTCAGAAAGAGGGCGTTCTGCGGACGCTTGGAAGAGGGGGAGGTTCGAACTGAGGGGGGGGGGGCCCTGAATTGCAAGAGGAGGATTCGAACCAGGGGGGGGGCAGGCTTCAAGGGGGGGAAGTGGTTCGAACCGGACCCCCCCCCAGTTGTAGGTGGGGCGTGGGGAGTTTAACCAAGGGGGTGAGCCTCTTTCATGGGGGGGGTCGAACCGCCCCCCCCTCCCTGAATTGCAAAGCAGAGGGGGGTGTCGAACCGGCCACGCCCCCCCCATCCCTTGCAACCGACGGCGGCGAGCGCCAGCGCCGGCGCCTTTGCCATCGGGCAGCGACGACGAAGGCGACGATGACGACGACGACGCGGACGACGACGACGGTAATGACAACGCCAACGTCGACGACAGTAACGGTGTCGCCGACGCCGAACGCCGCCGACGACGACGACGATGGCGGCGACCACGACGACGACGCCGACGACGACGGCGGAGACCATGACGACGACGACGACATTAGAGCTGGATCGAGCCTTAGTAGGATCATTTTGAAGCCCAGACTCATTAAGCACTCGCTCGATCGACCAAGCGAGCAAGCGAGCGATGGAACTGATCCCTTCCTTTCCTTGCTCGTTGCCCGCTTGCTAGCACGCGAGCACCATGCATTTACTGTTTCGCTCGACCCGCCCGACTCGCTCGTCCGCTCGCCTGTTCGAGCGCGCGAGGAGCAAACGAGCGAGCGAGCAAGCGAGCGCCATGCATTTCGTTTCCCGCCCGCTCGAACCGACACCCACTTGTTTAAGCGAGCGACCGAGCGAGAGGACACCCTCCTGCCCTCGTTCGCTCGCTTGCTCGAGCGAGCGAGCGAGCAAGCGAACACCATGCATTCAATATCCCGCCCGACCGACCCGACCCGCCCGGCTCGGTCTCTCGCATGCTTGTTCCAGCTAGCGAACGAGCCAGCAAACGACCACCATTCATTCAATGACCCGGCCTGCCCTTGATAGTAGGATTCAATTTTCGATGGATCGTGTCATGGTAGGATTCAGTAAGAGCTGGATCGAGTGTGGTAGGGTCCACTGCTAGCTGGATCCAGCTATAGTGGGATTCTGTTTACTTCATGTAGGACCGAGCCCGATTAGGATGCTAGCAAAGTTGGACCCAGTTACAGTAGCATTCTGTTACAGCTGGATCGAATCCTAGCAGGAGTCAATGAGAGCTGGATCCAGCTATAGTAGGATCCATAAAAAACTGAATCCTAATATTGTAGGATTCCATCAGCGTTGAACCGAGCCTTGGTAGGATTCTACTAGGGAAGGGGGGGGTCCGGTTTGAGCCACCCCCTCACCATTTTGTCGAACACATTCTCCCAGGAGGCACGAAACGCGTTCTCTCCGATGTCACGGTCTGTTGTTTACCAAGAGAGTTGAAGAGTACCATTGATTTGAGGATCCCAGGATCCTGGAGTGCGAGGGATATTCTGCTTGCCTGCCTTGTCTGGTCATGTCCGTTCACGCGCGGCGCCGCAGGTGCCGAAGCTGGTGGAACGTTGGGCCGACAGGGACCTCGTGGTGTTCACCTGTCAGTACCTTGCGGCAGCCCTGGTTGAATTTTCGCGATGTGGCACCAACGGGCTTGGGCTTGGAGATCTTTTTTTATGACTTCCAAACGTAAAGCGTGTTCATTTTACCCCCACGTAACGGTGACGCGGGGAAACCGGCTACAGGCGTGAACGCGCGCAGTTTCCCATAGAGTAGGTGGAGGTATGAATTTATCAAAACCTTGGAAATCTTTGATAGCAATAAGAAGAATGAGAACGAAACACATCGGGATGTTTTCACACCGCTGCGCTGGTGACTCAAGGGCCCTGCAAAGGTTTGAGCCAAAGTGAGTTACGGTCGGAGGCCCCTTCGTCCCCTGCTCGTGATTATAATGCTGTTCACGCTCTGCTATTGTCTTGCTATGCTGCATAAAACTAGATGTACAGAGTATATCTCACACCCGCCAAAACAACTGTGGGGAGGGTCACTCCCGGAAGATGAAGTATGAAAGTTGAAATTCCAGTGACATGAAACGCAAGAGAAACAGTTGGCCAGGCACAGAACACTAAACAAAACCGCGCAGGGTAGTGTTTCACTCGCTTGAAGCCCGCTTTGGCATTGTCATCCCTTGGTGACTTCATCTTGTTATACTGCGTGCTGGTTTCCTCCATCTCGATGGTGATCTCGCCTGCTCGCTTGAACCCGATCATTTTGTGGCAGAACGCCACTGGTCGCCCATCAAACAGTAGGTGACCATACTCTGGACTCCCACCGTCCGCTGCCGAATATTATGGTATTTGTAGTCGCTGTTCTTGTTGTTGCTGATCGTCTCCTTCTCCACTGCCTTCTCGAACTTGCCGCTTGATTCCGTCTGAGTCGGGATCGGAGTAGCGCCCTGCTGGTCCACAAGTTATTGGAATAGCCACTAGCATACCCATAATCATGAATGATAATGCGCCCCGGGCACCTCCAGAGAACCACGGACACTTCATTGTCTCGTCGTAGTAGTACTTGTACTCGGTGTTGTAGTCGTAATCCTCTGTGTAAGTAGCAACATATGTTCAACAGCATGTGGCAAAGACTGCCAACTGCATGAGTGGTGACCTGGATGACCTCGTAGCCGATGATGTCTCCAGTCTGCTCTTCTCAATGATATCCTGCCTCTCTTCTTTGGTCTTTCTCTTGGCCGCAGTATTGGTAGGATCATGTTGAAGCTGTAGCCGTCCAGCTCGAAGCTTGTCTGCGAATAGTTGTCGTGCTGCCAACTTCGCGAGTCCGTCTTCGAATTGACGCTCTGAGGAAACCCATTCCCACTGCGTCTTCGTAGCTTCCATCCGCTCTCGTAGTGCTAGAACTTCGATGCCGGCGCACTTGTCCTGGAAGTTGGCGATGTTTTCCTTCTTGGGTGCGTCGTACAGCGCCTTGGCGTCGATCACGAGTGCGGATTCCCCTGCGTAGTGGGTGTTGCTGTCGTTGTTGATGTCCACGCTGTCGTAGATGAGGGCCGCCCAGAACCGCTTCGCGTCCATTCCTGCTGCCGCTGCTTGAGATTGCGCATGAAGTGAGGATCTCGCTAGCCTTGCGAGCGTGAAGGACGTCCAATCGACAACGCTGAAATCCGAGTCCTCGCCGTTGAGAAGTTTAAAATGACACGCCATAATCACATAGTTTCCTTGACTAGATCCGTCTTGACGCACTCCCCAAGCTGCGTCAGTCATAGCCACCAAAACTATGTCATTGACCTTCCCGATCTTCTTCATCATTAGCGCTGCGTCCGCATTCTCCGTTTAGAACCTGAGCGTCTTGTTGACTTCCCTCGCTGTCGCCACTGTTGCCGTCGGAAGCTGCCCTTGGTGAGTGCTGACCGATGCTGATGCGTGTGGGCACGCCTGGGAACTTGGCCACTGTAGCGCTCCAAGTAATCCTCGAAAATGTCGAATCTCCTTAGGCGTAAGTGGACGGTCGTTGTCACCGTTCTCCTGGTCGATCGTGATCGGTTTGAGGTTGGATGCGTACGTCTGCATCTTGATGTTAGTCTCGGTGCTGTTGGACTGCTTGTTGTTCCAGTGAGTCGTCTGGTGTAGGTCCGATCCGCAGTGCTCGATCTTGTCCTCCTCGGTCCACTTCCGGAATTTGAGCTTGCTCCTGATTGCCTCGATGATGGCGCTGTAATTGCTTCTGGGCCGGTGGTCGCCTCTTCCAAGCATATCGTCCACGCGCAGTAGGATGAAGCCGTCGCAGTTGCCGCTCTTGTCGTAGCTCACGAATAAACACGGGTCCAGTGGGTGTTGCTTGAGACCCCTGGCCTTGAGGTCGTCAACTGCGGTCCGTTCGTGGGCTTGATCAGCTGCATCGGCGTGTCCGGCTCGATGCCCATGAGATCTGCTGCGTCTCAAGGTATTTTTGCGTATGGTATTAGCTCTCGGGGTCGCCCTTGAAGAAATGCTGTAATCACGTCTGCTGTCCAAAGTCTCCATCCGTTGTTTGCCGCCAGCAGCGTAGCTAGCTCACGTTCCAGTCGCGATGCGTGATGCCGCAGATACCTTCCCGCCGAGTGCGTCTGGGTCGTTGCAGCCCTGATGCGCACTTCAGTGCCCACTTGGCCTTCAGGATACGCTTAGGGTCTTCATTTCCGGTCGGCTTGCGGAACTCCCAGACTTCGTTGCCGAAGAATTCTTCGAGTTCCTTCTTTTTGCCTTCCATGAACGCCGCTTTCTCGTGAGGCGTCATGCCCCTGGTGCTGACCTCGGCGCAAATGTCGTTCAACTTAGCATCCTTTTCGTCGAACTCCCATCCAAACAGTAGGTCCTCGCCCTCAAGCATGAGCTGCGTGGCCGCGAGCTCGTCGTCGGCGCTGTCGTCGCCCACTGGTTGGGCGGCTGCTGTCAGGTCTGGCATTGGCGTTCCCGGGTAGACTCCTCCTCCAGGTCGGGTGAATAGAGAAGCTCAGCCGCGCCCAGTCGCCTGCGACTCTCCCTCGATCTCTCCGCAGCAAACATTGGCGCCTGTATCGTCGATCCTGCGGACGCCGACATTGCTGGGCCCAACGTCGCTGGCATCTGTGCCAGTGTTAGCGACTGCGCTGGAGCTGGTGGCGATGATTGTGGCTGCTCTCTTGGCGTTGTCAGCCCGGCATGTGGCCTAGTAGGCAATGGCTCCTGGTCCTGTTGACCTTCACTCGGTTGAGGCGTGAGCTGGGGCGTCTCGGCTGGCCCCATCGGCTCTTCCTCCGAGGGGCTCAGTCTTGGAGGGGCTGGTGGTGGTGGCGAAGCTTCCACCGATGACGAAGCCGCCGCTCCAGTGGTTGCTGCCGACGCGCTTGGTGCTGACGCCGATGCCGATAGTGATCCTCTCTGCCTCTGTGATGGTGGCCCGTCTCCAGGTCCGTCGTCGTCGCCGCTGACGTCCATGTCCGAGTCGCCCGGTGCGTCGACTGGTTGTTCCTGCGAGCTGTTGTCGTGAAACTGCGCGACCCCGGTGCTCTTCGCGTTGCTCAGAGTCTCCTTGGCCTGCACGAGGTTCTCGAGTAGAACGCATCCTTGGTCGCTGATGTCTAGCCGAACGTGTTCTGGCGCATTGCGTAGTAGTTACGTTCCATGAACGATCCAGTAGATCCTCGGCCCGACCTCGTCCTGCCTCATCTCATTGAAGACCGCAATCGCGGGTCCTTTCTATTCCCAACCCTCCTATGGTTGGGTACTCGTTTTGAATAGAGCAGTGTGGTCGCCCCGTCCTTCTCCTCCTCCCCCCCTCCTCCCTTCCTCCTCTCCTGTTTCTTGTGTTCCCCTCTCCTCTTCTCTCGTGTCGTCGGGCTGCGATCTGCGCAACTGTCGACACTTTCGTGGGCTGCTGGGAGGCCCAGCGGAGGTGGGTCCCACGCGAACCACCTCGAGACTTCGCGGTACCATTGGGGCTGCGATCTGCGCAATTGTCGCCACTTTCGTGGGCTCCTGGGAGGCCCAGCGGAGGTGGATCCCACGCGGACCACCTCGAGACCTCGCGGCGCCCTTGGGGCTGCGATCTGCGCAATTGTCGCCACTTTCGTGGGCTCCTGGGAGGCCCAGCGGAGGTGGGTTCCACGCGGACCACCTCGAGACCTCGCGGTGCCCTGGGGGCTGTGATCTGCGCAAGTGTCGCCACTTTCGTGGGCTCCTGTGAGGCCCAGCGGAGGTGGGTCCCACGCGGACCACCTCGAGACCTCGCGGCGCCCTGGGGGGTTGCGATCTGCGCAAGTGTCGCCACTTTCGCGGGCTCTTGACAGGCCCAGCGGAGGTGGGTCCCACGCGGACCACCTCGAGACCTCGCGGTGCCCTGGGGGGTGCGATCTGCGCAGTTGTCGCCATTTTCGTGGACTCCTGGGAGGCCCAGCGGAGGTGGGTCCCACGCGGACCACCTTGAGACCTCGCGGCGCCTGGGGGGTTGTGATTTGCGCAAGTGTCGCCATTTTCGTGGGCTCTTGGGAGGCCCAGCGGAGGTGGGTCCCACGCGGACCACCTCGAGACCTCGCGATCTGCGCAATTGTCGCCATTTTCGTGGGCTCCTAGGAGGCCCAGCGGAGGTGGGTCCCACGCGGACCACCTCGAGACCTCGCGCTGCCCTGGGGGCTGCGATCTGCACAAGTGTCGCCATTGTCGTGGGCTCCTGGGAGGCCCAGCGGAGGTGGGTCCCACGCGGACCACCTCGAGACCTCGCGGTGCCCTGAGGGCTGCGATCTGCGCAAGTGTCGCCATTTTCGTGGGCTCGTGGGACGCCCAGCGGAGGTGGATCCCACGCGGACCACCTCGAGACCTCGCGGCGCCTTGGTGGCTGCGATCTGCGCAATTGTCGCCACTTTCGTGGGCTCCTGGGAGGCCCAGCGGAGGTACGTCCCACGCGAATCACCTAGACCTCGCGGTGCCCTGGGGGGTGCGATCTGCGCAATTGTCGCTATTTTCGTGGGCTCCTGTGAGGCCCAGCGGAGGTACGTCCCACGCGGATCACCTCGAGACCTCGCGGTGCTTTGGGGGGGGTGCGACCTGCGCAATTGTCGCCATTGTCATGGGCT